TCAATATAATCTGAAAGTTTGTAGTAAGCCTGTCTACATAATTCGCGTTGAATATAAGTTTTAAATTTTCGTTCATTAAGATTTAATACACTTCTTGGAATTTTATTGTAACAATTTACACAGAACCCCATAAAGGATTTCTGTACTTTGGACAGACGGAATCGTGGCACAGCCAGCCTATCTTTGCCTCTAGTATTAAAATTATGTCTATCGCTTCTTTTTTCAAATAATTGCAAATTTTTCCTTACGTACATAATATTTTCATATATAAACTGACAAGGTACCGTTAGGATATTTATCGTTTTAAATAGTTCTCTCAGAGATTCACGAGGGGGCAAGTTATATATCGCTCGGATAGCCCGCTTTTGCAAAATAAATATTAAATCTATTTCCGCAGCTGTTCTAAATTCCGATGCTTTCCAAAAAGATATTGTGTCAAGACCTCTTACTGCACGATGAATTTCTTTTGGTAATTTGGATTGCACTAACAACTGCGTTATGGCTATGATATCAGAAGCTCGCCATTTGGTCTTGTAGTTACTGAAAGAGCCGTTGCGCCATCCCATTAAACACCGCTTCATTATCCCAAGATCGATTAAATGTAGAGAGTCTGCAACTGGAATATCTAATACCATATCAATAGGTAATAGCAAAAGAGCACTATCCATTTTATGGTGTGATCCGTATGTCTTATTTCGGAACCCCTCATCGGTTCTTAAGGGACATCTCCACCTGCAATGCGACTAATATGAATACTCTCCAATCGATGTACATTTTGGACACCCATTCTGACTGTTGAAGTTAGCAATACCTTTAATAAATGCACGAGCTGGTGAGTCACAAATTATGGCCCGAATTTTAATTGTAATATGATTGCTTATGATTTCGGGGGTGGTGATGTGACTTTGCATGTAGGTACCGATCAGTGTGAGTTGGCTTTCGGTATACCCAGTTCGATAAGGACCCATCTAATCTCGCGGTTATTAAAATTACAATAACAAAAATTAAAACATTAAAATACCCGGTTGCACAACCGGGTCGAAACGTCAAGCCTACCAAGGTATTCAAATTATAATTTTCCGCGTTAATACCCGCGTAAATACCTTTTTTATACTTTTCCACTTTTCTCCGAAAGCCTCCTGTATTCTTAATATGTTTTGCTTTCTTCATGCTTGCAGAACGCTGTCCTTTATATACTCAATACACTTAAAATAAAATGTTTTTAACGTAAATTCTCTAATGAAAGAGGAAGCGTTTCACTAGAGTATACACTATAGAGTATCTAGTCATTGATTCTATTAAGTATGGACTTAAAAAAGTGCCTAACAAATCCATATAAAGACCTTTTTGATTATTTATAGAGTAATTGGTCTACAAATAATCGCAATTCTCAAAAAGTATTTGTGATAATAAGTCTATAGAATAATTGATCTAAAGCAGCGCTTTTAACAGTGCGAATATAGTCCATAACAAATCAATTTGCTCTTAACTCAGTGTAATGAACTAATAAAGGTTTTAAAACAAGGGACACTAGATATTTTATTCTATTAGAATTTTAGTTCTTATCTAAAACCCTGTATAGAATGCCAATGTCTATAAAATAGCCATGATTAGTACTTCTATAGCATAAATAGATTTAAGGGGGCTGAAGTGTGCTACTTGGGTAGACTCATTCACTGTGAAGGAACATCGTGTACATCACATATTTTTTATGTTATAGGTCGGCACACTAGCCGACGGATTACCTGATGGTAAGCAATCAGCGCCGCCCATGGACAATACTAGAAGAGTTAAGTTTTGGGGCAGGACAGGATTGGACCTCCGGTAACCTCACTCACACAGCGAAACACAACGCTGTGGTTGTTTCACGCCGGTTTTCTGTGAGGCCGTGGTATCACTTTGGTCGAGCCGACCCATTCGTGCCGAAGCATGGCTCTCCCACACATAAATATGATGTCATTAGCCGGTAATAAGTCCACGAGTAGACGGTAGGTCCATTGTCTGGGCTATTGGGTCATTGGGCCTCTTCAGCATAACAGGGTTTGCATTTGAATGGTGTACATAAAAGGTTCATAATTATGTAAAATAAGTCTGTCTTATCTGAACTATACCTGGACAAATTTCATTAAGATTCGTTCAATTTTTACGTGATGAAGTAACAAACTTTCGTCCATCCATCCCATAGTAACAAATGTTCGCGTTTAGATAATATACCTACATCTGACAGTTTTAGGTTGACGTAAAATTCATGTCATATTATTTATCAAGCAAATACTTACATTTCGAGAACAAAATAAAATTCCAGAGCATATGTAAATATTTTAATTTACTCCATATATACATAATTTAGTATCATCTAGAAACAATCTAATTCCATTCTAATTTACACGATAAATAGCATACACTCACTAAGACACAGATATATAGAATATAACTATATAAGTAGACAAAAATCTATTTCACTTCTAACCAAGTACGATGCGTTTAGAAAATATATTTAATTCCTTTTTTAAATTATTTAGGCTTAAATACCACTTATGACTAATAACTATACAATGAAGCATACACATAGCGACCACAGACGTCTCTAGTTTGTGTGAACATTTAAACGGAGTACATATTGGATGTACGTAACTATTTAACTATTTATTAATAAAAACATGTATAATTTTAAAGTCTAATAAGATGTCTTACTCCAAAAAGGAAAGGATATCATTATATATATCTACATAATATTAATATTCTGTTTTTATTTTTTATTTTTCGTAATTTATTCTCTTTTTATTTATTTATTTTTAAATAGGCGTTTTTTTAGAGAACAATTCTGACAGACTTACAGATTATGTTCGACAACGGATAAAACTGAATTGGTGACGCTACCATAGCCTTAAATAATTTGTAATGAAAAACTTTGCCAACACGAAAGCTTAGCAATTATTATTATTAAAAAAGCCACAACATTTAATATAACTATTATTTTGAATCACGACAAGCAACATCCCAAACATTCAAGTATTTATTCTAAACATTGATATGATTTTTTTAATACAGAATTTCAAAAATAGACATTTTAATATTTCATTCCCTACAACTTACAATTTATTTTCAAATGTCAAAACATTTACGTTTTCAAATGACGCATTCGAAAAATAACTGTACCCGGTTGAAGTAGAATAGAGATTTGTCTGTGCAAAGTCAACACTATTAATAAATGCATTTAATATAATATTCTTTTATGCAGAAATCAAAACGGAACATTCATATTCATAAAAAGATCACATATTTTTATTTCTCTTTGAATAACATATATTCAGTACAAACATATATTTCAACATTAAACTATTTTACTTAATTATACAGAAATAAACAATTCAGAAGGGCGATGATGATAATAATAATAATATGTATAATCAATGAATGTTTGAGCTTTTGAATCAAATCAGTCTTACCACGCGTTTAAACTTTGCAAAGGATTACTTGACAAAACGGCTCATTAGACAAAACCTTAATATAAATAAATAAATATGATCATAGCATAGTTCGAGACTATAAAACCATGTTGATGCTTTTAAACGGGCAATTTTTTTCGTAACATGTAGCTGCGAAACTGTGTATAATTTCAAGAAATAGGAGGCAAACGAGCAGACAGATCACCTACTAGTTAGTAATCCAGAACTGTCTATCAGAGAAGTCACAAATGCATTCTGTCGGCCTTTTAAGAAAGAGTTTGTCTTGAAGGTCGGTCGAAAACACCGTCGACGAAAATTAATTGTACAGTTTTGACGTGCAAGGCAGAATGTACCACGATTTTGTTGCTTTTATTCGTTATGATTCCTCTTTTAAGCAATCGCCTTACGTATGTCTAATCATATCATATATATAGTTATTGTTTTATAATATAATATAATAAAGCTGAAAAGTTAATCTGTTTAGTTGAATGCAATTTTTCAAGGACAACTCTTGAGATGTGAGAGTTCTTTTTAACTTGACTCAATAAAATGTTGATATGTGCTTATTTTTCAGTCAATGTGTTGTAGTCATATATTTCAAAATGATACAGCCCCTTTAAAAGCATCTTATGGTATAGATACTTACGTAAATATTGCACTATTCAGGCATATTAGAAAACAACCGTAATTGTACAATATACCAAATTGTTAACATACAATAGACATGATCTCCAAGAGTTAGGGTAGCTTTGTTTAGAACTTAAAAAATGTATTGAATTACCTACCAGACTAAGATGCATAGATTAACAAATAAATATAGGTTCATTATTATGTTACCTGTATAACGCAATATCCGTGTATGTTACTATTTAACATATTTTAACAAAACCCTGTAATATACGAGCTTATTATAAACAAGCATAATATGGACTTACCTCGCACGGATTCGTCGATACATCGCTCTTTCGTTCTATCAAAAACATACCCCAATAGATAGGTATATGTGAGGTTAAGTGCATAGAAAGAGATGTACATATTTCTCACATCATGTCTGTACATAAATTCTCATACCAGTCAAAAGTACCAACAAAATATCAAAATGTTGTCACAAAATTTAGATAGTGCAATGAAAAATGAATTTTAGGCGGACACTTTAACAATGAAATTTGTAATTTATTTCAATTCTAGTGAAGAAAACATTTAAAGAATTCCAATTTAATACATGATAATTTATTATACATCACACAAAAACTAGGTCAGATATCGTGAGTGTATTTATTATAAGGCAAAGTTGGCAATCGATATTAAATATAGTCGAAAATAGATTTCAATACTATACAATACACACATTATATGATATCAATATTTACACATAATTTTGCCGCATACGATACACAACAGCTTATTCGGGGAAAATATTATCCAAGAAGGAATATATCCAGAGAATAATACATTCAGTTTTCCGCATAGAAATCATTTCGTATCGAAATAGGGAAAGCACAAAGGGACGTTGACCAATAGTATTGATCGACGATTATTTCGAAAATGGCGTCGAAGCACACAATAACCACGTGAAATAAAAAGTCAGATCAAGTCAAGCGTTGACGATTAAAGAGTAAAACCTGAGTAGGGTCCCGCAGACGCTGGCGGCCATGTTTCATGGCGCTTGTATTGGCCGGTTCGGTGACTGCGGGACCACGGGGACGGGCGTCGCGTCCAAGTCACATGCTGACAGCAAACGGACCAGCTCATCTGGAGTCGGGCCCCCGTCCGGGGCTTGAGATTCCTCGGCATCAGTTGCTAAGAAAAACAAATAGGCATGGAACTCGTGTTTCGAAAATAACTACATTTATAACATTTATTTATGCAAACTTCGCGAGAATCTACAGTAAATACAACTATGAACAACACACTTTTTTTAAACTAAATGTTGCCCCACACTAGGATTCTCCTCTGTCGTTGTGCGTTTACAAACATACAATTTCACATACAAATCACACCCAGACCCGGAACAACAACTTATGGATCACACAAAGAGTTTTAACATTGAAGTCACATACATAAATCATCTTCATCAAAATAAATTCTGATTTATATTAAGAGATTATAAAAGGACATGAAAAAAAAACAGTTTCCCCTTGGCTCTGTTTCTATATGACTTATGACACAATAAATCGTGGGCACGATTCTTAATAAAAGTAAACAGATAAATTATTAACCCATACCTCCACTTCCGGGCACCGGTTGAAGTTTAACAGCCTTATCTATAGGTGCAGTGAGGTCCCACATCTGTGTGGCCCCGGACCTATGGCCACATAGTAACAATCGACGAGGCCTCAACGCTCCTTCGCACTCCGCTACCACGAAACAAGATACTGCCGAGCCGTCCACTGATCGTATTGTACATACCCTGTATAATAAAAGAGAAATTATTTTTTTGAGGTAGTTTTAAATTCTAGTTTTTACTGTTGATGGCGCCAGTGTAGATTTGAGGACAAATAGTCTAAAAATTTGTCTTAATTTTTTTCCTTACTACGCTCATGGACACTTGCAATACCAAAAAGACTACAGATGATGCCCGCCTTATTAAAGTAACGAGTATATACGAGCATAACGAAGTCGCGTTGAAGTACGAATATTGATATTTACCTTTTACCATTCGAAGCTAGCCGAACGTATAACGTGTCTGTATCAGGAACAACTTTTTGAATAAATATTTGTTCTTCGTCCTGCTCACCGTAGGGGCCTGAAAGTGAGATAAATACTATATAACACACATTATATCGCAAGTAAATTCGAATTATTATTTAGGGTATTAGGGTATTCTAGAATGATTGTAGTTAGTTAACTTAACTAGTAATCTTATATAATAATATGTAATCTTAAATAGTACCGACCCATTGTAATTGGTAAACGGTCGTAATTGTAATGAAGTATTTTAATTTTCTTGAGACAATTAAATTTTTTTTACGCTTTATTCATGTATAATCTTGAGCGTTACTGTGCGAAACACAACGCGGTGAGAGTCTCAAAGTTAAAGTCAACATTTATTACAACTAAACCATACGACCGTAATTTTGAAATGTCAACAATAAAAAAATCCGTTCGTTTATAATTCCAAATGTAGACTAGAATTGAGAGAGAAGAACGAGCAAGAAATCTCGTTTCGTTGTCTGGTCCATCCATATTGGCTTGTTGATTATGAGTTTTTAAAATGTAATTAATTTTATTGTGTGTCATCATATTAGCCACAAGATGTCCACTGTTGAACACAGATATCTCTCAATGATTCCTAGATTTGGTTACAGACTGAAGTGTATAACTCACCGCAATCATTATGGGGTTGTGCCGTAGGAGCCTCTAGGGCGAGCACTTTGAATGCAGCCTTGGGCGTAGTTCCCGGCTGCGTTGAGATCATTCCTCTGAAGCGTGTGACGCGCCAAGTTCGCACGTGGTTATACTCGCTACATACAGATACTAGGTAGTTCTCAGATAGCGATACCTATAAAAGAAAAGATAAATAAATGTTTTATTAGGAGGTACAAAAAACTATATTGTAACTTGCTTTTTCTTAAGTTAAAATCAGTGGTTTTTTTAGCTAGATTAGTTTGATTGTCCTCGTGGCACCGTCTAGTGGTCCAAGATTGAATAAGTATTTAAAAAAGTTTTTTTTTTGTCTTACAACTTTTTTCAAATTCTCAGTAAATTTTCATAGTAAGAATTGGAATTTTTAAAGGGGTATAATTGACAATAAAAAGCTTTACACTACCTTTGTGATAGGACTCTGATGAACAGTAAATGTCTGGAACAGTTGAGGCCCATGGCCAACTGTCTCAGGATGTTGAACGATGACGCGGACGGAACCACAACGGGTACCGTAGGCTATCTCTATCCAGTTGCCGCATAGATCTGTTTGGAAAATATTACATTAGAACATGAATAGAAGGGAATGAGGTATTCAATGGGCAAGGGTAGCTCGCAGCCCGTCCAAAACCAGTCATATATTTCATCAATTTCATACAAAATTCATAGTTTCACTAACAGTCAACTACAGTATTGTGATTGATCTGCGATTTTGATCTTAATGCCGTATAAAATACGGCGTTATTCACTTACTTGTTTTAGGTGTAAGATAAACTGATATAGCAGTGATTGGCTCTTGGTTTGGATCCTTATAAAGCTGAGTCACTAATAGATCGTTGTCTTTCATACGCAGCGGGAACTTTTGCATATCTGAAACAAATAAAAAAATACAAGCGTTTATGAAAAAAAAGACTTAACTAACCTTTTTCTGTATTTTTTTTTATTTGATTTTCGACTTTATAGTCTAGGTATTAATTCGTATCAAATAAAAAAGTGACAGATTGCAGTAGACAGACCCGTGGTACCCAAAGTCATGGTTACCATACGCAGTTTTTTCCGAAAGAAAGCGTTATTGGTAATCAGAGGCCCAATCCTGTTAAAATCAATTTAATCTCTTGTCAAGTCATCTGATTGGTTTACTGAATTATCAACAACCAATCAGATGACTTGACAAGAGATTTAACAGGAGATTAGTTAATTTTAGCGTAAACAAGCCTTTCAGAAACTGGGTGTTAATGTATCCGAGTACTGCAATCAGTCGCAAAAAGAAATACTTATACAGATTTGCGTGGACAATGTTTGTAAATAAACAATAATTATCCTTATTCCAATGTTATTGTTTATGAAGGTAATCTATTAATTATTATTGTTTGTTATATTTTTTATCATCGGATTTCCAAAGAGATTAGACGTTGTTTACAATTACTACGTATTTAAAGTGGCCTTTTTTTAAAGCAATTTTCTAGGAATTAATGATAAATGTATCTCAATGACTTTTTTAAGGAGTTATTTATCAATTATGGTTATCGCAAGACGCGTGAAGATATTGGTGTAAGGCGATAAACGAGCAGACTAATCAACTGATGCTAAGCAACCGATGTTGCGCATGCGCATCTAACAAAGGAGATAGCTACCTGCTATTAAAAAAATCCTTGGATTTTCTACTGTTTTCTGGCCTCAGAAAACCACATGCACGTTACACACAAATCCAGAAGAGCTATTTGTGGATCAGACAAGGAGTTTTTTATGTGGGAATTAAACCAGTGATACGATTCATAGCAGCCAGTTGCCCACCGACTGCTCCAACCTCGTTTGATAGCGGAGTGTTAGTAATAGAGTTCCTGGTCTAGGTGTTAGGTGTACGTGAAATTTCATGTTTGTAAAAAAAAACAAACGCACCTACGACGCAGGACAAAATTGCTAGTGGGAGGCAACGTTTTGTAAAAATAAAAAAGGTTTTTAATTAGAGGACCTTAAAAATAAAACTTACCGATATAATTAATAGCTCCCGTCGCAGTACCGAGTAGTAGGAACGATCCAGCGGTTTCATACGTAGTGAGGTGAGCCACATCCTGTGTCTGCCAGTGCTGGGTACTCGTGTGCCAAACTCCTGCCTTGCTGCGGCTCCCAGCGCCACTGAGGGCCACTAGTTGTGGGCCCACGAAGAGTAGATGTTCCACTCTTACGCCTAGGTTAAAAGTACCTAGGAAAATGCAATCAAAGATAAGGGATTCGTTGTTTTAGATTTATTTAACGGAAAGTTGTGTGTCAGTAAGAATGACTAGTAATAAGTCCAAGTTGATTTTTAGGAAAGGCAGTGTACAATTGATTTTTTTTCTCCTTTATTATGTAATGTGAAGAAACGATAGGACAAGTTGTTTTGTTCTGCCAATAAATGTGGATACAAATGGTCTATAAAAATATTTACAATCTGAAGTCATTAATTAATTTCATGTTAGTCAATCCCCAAAAAAAATTTTTCACAAGTCGCCACTGGGCTAGACTTGATATTACATTGAGCTTATAATGGTTAATAATGGATTATTAATTTAATCTTATTTCATATCCTAAATATTGAATGATAAATAAACGTGAATTTTCAAATATTTTTTCATCTACTTACCAACCAGAGTACGTCTAACAGGTTCGCTGTGTGTGGAGAATGCCCACAGTCGGACATGCGCACCACTAGCTATACCCAACATGATGTCAGTACCGGTAGAGCTGTTCCCGCTAGAGGTGCCCCCGCCGCCACCGGTTTTTGCATTCAACGCTATTCGTTCTATCACAGAATCTTGGACCGGTGATTGGAAGACTACGTACCAACCACACGAGTCTGTTAATCTGGAAACAAATATAAAAAAGTGGTAGAATTTACTTCATATGATTCTGATTTTCTACCAATTTTTTTTTTGCCAGTTTATCAGCGATAATTTAATTGAAAGGACACATTGAGCATTGAGTTTCTGTTGTTTTAGATTTTAATGAAATTTTTAGCTTTTGACTACAAACTTTAATAACTGTACAATTCTGTTTTTCAATACACCAATAATATTTCATAATTATTAAGAAAAACGCTGCGAAGTGCCTCGATGCACATTAGCGTCAACCAGATTATTTTTCTTCGTTGCAAACTTTTTTTATACATACCTATAACCAGTCACAAAGTGTGTATAGGCAACTGCAACCCAATTGTGATGCGCTTTTATGATCTGAACCTTCATACTGTCAGCCCAGGAACTCACTATAAAAAATAAAGATTAAACATAAACAAATCTACGCATTAAAGTCAGCACGGTTGGTGCGGTGGCTGGGCAACTGGCTGCCGTGCAACGTGTCGCGGGTTTGATTCCCGCACGGAACATCTCTATGTATAGGTATCCACAAATTGATGTTCCTGGCCTGGGTGTCATGTGTATGTGAAATTGTATGTTTGTAACCGCACCCACGACACAGGAGAAAACCCTAGTGGGGGGCAACGTTTTTTTTAAAAAACGAAAACGAAAAAATTGTGGAACCGGAGTGATACCACGGCCTCACACAAAACCGGCGTGAAGCAACGTGTGAGGTTATTGAAAACCCAATCCTCCCCCCATCCTCAATCCTCAATTCCCCAAAAACTTGCAAGAGGCCGGCAACGCACTTTGGTACCTATTAAGAGTGTTCAGGGCGGCGCTGACTGCTTACCACCAGGTAAACCGTAAGCTCGTTTGCAGACTTATGAGATTTTTTTTATCGTGTTGGTCTAGAATCAATTTAACTTTTTCCGAGTATATGTAGGTATATAATTATGTATTTTCTAAGATAATTTAGACACCACTGACATACGGTGAAAGAAAGCGTCATAAGAAAATCTGGACTGATAATTTCAAATTATACTTATTTCAATCCGCTTTAGGTTGTAGTACGTATTAGCTTGATGTAGTATTTGATGATATGATGTGTTGTAATGTAATAGGAACTTTATTAATCCCAAATTAACGCGAAGTCGTATAAAGTGAGAGGCGTATTGAGGGGTTACGAAAAACTAAAGTGTTGTTCAGTTTCGTTTGAACTATGTTTCGTAAACCTTTGCCATCTTTAGTTCAAAAAGTTTGAATTAGGTAACAAAAATAGTTTCATTCTCTGCAATGCTTAAAGGTTGACTGCGGTATTATGGCATGTAGTATAAAGCCTTTGTATGTTTGTAATAAATTATACTATTAATTTAAAACAGTTAAATAAGGAAGTAGTCTACCAGTCGGTGGTATTTGGGACTATTCGCCAAATAATCGGCGATAAAAGTGGCCGATTAGTGGGAAATAACTATTTAGCACATTATCTCAAGTATCTAAAATCTGTATTGTAAAGAGAAAAAAGGATACACATAGACAAGTTTAAGGGAATCATAGACAAGAAAAAATATTGTAGCTGCCTGGACAAGTAGGCACAGACGCGACTGCAAAGAAAGTGGTTAAGAAAAACGGAACGGTCGGGTCAGGTCGGGCTAAGTATTGTTGGGAGATATCCCGGTTAATCAAACATTTCTAAGAATTAGCATGGGGTTTAAAACTGACCATGAGTGATAATAGAATACTGTGTAAACCTGTCGTCTCATTTTTATTTTTCGGAAATTATCTGTGTTTTTATGTTGATAGTAAGATCATAATAATTATAATAATCAAGTGATTAAAAACAAAACCTAACAAATGTAACAAAATAGAGACGAAGAAACCAAAGCATCCTTCAACTCAGACCGCTTAAAGGGATATTATACAATGTTTACAATATTATCAAAACAAACATTGGTTACGTCTCATACAACATACTTGACTATTGAATGATAAATAGGAGCGGACAATGGGTGAATCACGGGTTGAATTGCACTGATTACACGGTGATACGGCATAACGGCAAAATGGCAATAGGTAGGTACCTACTTATAGTAATGTATCTATATTAGGACAGTGTTTCCCAAAGTTTGTTCTACCATGTTGCGTATATTTTTACAACGACTTCTTCGAGACGCAGTCTACATTTTGTTTTGTCAGATAAGTACTTTTTATATTACATAAAGAGTTTTATAATTATCTATAATTGCCATACATCGGGGAAATAAGTACCTGATTCTTGATCATTTTTGGTATCTTGGTGGCGAGGTGCAAAACCAAGGAAAAGAACAATGACCTTAAAAAATAAGGGATAAATATGTAGGTACTTCTTAAAAATGCTGGTAACGTAATTGTAACTTCTACGACGTTGCGGGTCCATGGGCGGCGCTGATCGCTTATCACCAGGTTACCCGTCTGCTCGTTTAAACACAAACTCATTCCAGAGGAGTGTAAACATAAAAAAATTTTGCGCCCCTGTATTTTATTTTGGGAAACGCTGATATAGATAATTTGATACTCACTGTCTGGCGGTCGATGTCCCTTGTGACAGTCTGCGTTGCCAAGTGAAGCTGCTCTTGAATGCCCTCTACCGCAACGACTGTGAATCATTATATTTTATTAGATTTAAAATTTATTAGGTATGTTTGTGTATGATGTTAAGATCTTTTTTGACAAGATCTGAAGAAATGATTGGGACCAAAAAGTTGGGATTTTTATTTTATTTTATTTATTTGGCTCACCAACAATTGTTTACACGATAAAATATTAAATACATTCATCATAATACTATACTTGTGTAACAATCTCTTATAGGTAAGCACAGCATGCACTATACTACTTAGTTAAAGTTAAGATTACAGATTACATACAAATAATTATGACATTGTGAAAATCTAAGTAAATACATTTTACCAATATATACAAATAAATTAAATTACAAATTACGGAGTAAAAAAAAATATATTAAATACAGTGCTAAAATTAGGATTTCAAAATGCAATGCAACGATATAATTTGATTTTAATTTCGTAACCCGCATTTTAATTAGGTACATATACTTACAAAAAATTCGACTGCCAACTTAAAAATTGGTTTTTTTTTTTAAGTCTTGTGGGCTTGTGACGTTCTTTATCGTACTATCAATCAAAGGCATTACGTTTCGAGGGAAACATACATAAGTGTAAGTAGGTACTTATAACTTATTTGGATATAATTATATTTTTAAGTATTTAAATATTAGATAGTTTTCTCAGTCAGTTATTAAATACAATATTAACTTGTGTGAAAATGTATAGGTACTATTTTACAAAAAAATATAATATCAACTAAATTCAAAGACATGGTGTGCATACCTTAATTGATCTTGAGAGGGTATCCTGCCAACAGTGCGGAGATCGAGCGAGGAGTTTCTGGAGTGTGTTCTATTAACTGCGACCTCAGTACTTGAAGCTGTCGAATTCTTCCGCGAGCAACTGTTGCCGTTCCGTCCACCATTACCATTTGGCAGGGCTGTGTTTACTGCAAGTACGTCACTTTTTGTAATTGAGGTTCTTATTTCATTTAGGTTTTATAATCGAATGTTTTTAGTGTTCTCTAGTGTGAAGATATGGGTGACTTGGGCATTTGTTTCGTTTAACGCGAAAACATTCTCGTTGTACACATATCAGTCTAAGTAGGTAGCCAGTCAGTAGTCAATTTTTATTTGATTTGAGTTCTGAGTGTAAATTAGGGAATATTTTTATTGAAATCTAGAAATTTGTGTAGGGTTACATGCGGTCTAAGATCGTATTACATATTGCAATACCCAGTTTATTGTCAGGTTATGAATAAAATTATACTAACAGTAAAACTATAATTGTAGTAACAGTTTTCGTGTCATATTTCTTGCTAAAATATTTTTTTATGAATTCCTACTAGGTTCAGAGATAATATTTATTACCTAGAGATAGTAAAACACAAAGTGTGACTAATGCTGCTTTTACGTTTTGGTAAAATACTAATTAAGACTAACTGGAGATAAGCTGTATAAACAATATAGATTGCTGATAACATAAAAATAAATATATTATTTAATCTTTCCATGCTATCAAACAGAGTTGTTTGATCAGTACTGATGACTAAAACAATATTTTAGGGGGAAAATTAATTTAGAAAAGTCATCCATTGTATCACTTGGAATTAGGCAAAGGTATAACTTTTCATTTATGGGATTAATACATAATAGTTATCCTATTTAAATCATATAAGAAGATTACTGGTAAATGCATACTAAGTTGAACTAATTGGATTATTTAGTATTTTAGTTTTACCTTCCAAATAAAAAACAAAACAAATAAATTAATCTTTATTACTTTGACATTACAAAGACAAAGTAATGTTTATGTTTCCTTTTACTTTTGAGTCATTTATCTTAGCCAAGCAGATATGTTTAAAATGCCTATATATAAATAGCTTTTGGTGATTCAGCATTGTTTAACTTAGATAATTTTTTGTGGGGCAGTGTCATGAGTCATTTCTTTGAACTGTAGTACTTTTGGTTACATAAAGTAGGTGGGTAAAGTACACTTTTATAAAAGGCTAGCAACATGCTTGTGATACTCCTAGTGATGCTGATTATATGATGATTTATAGACACCTGCAATATGCAGATAGATCTGATGGCCTACCTGTTTGCTTAACCAAATTCCATAAAATACTTACATGGTGGTGGTAGGTATCCATAGAAGAGTACATCTCCACATGTTGAGTGGTTCATCTCATCACACAAAGCCAGTCTTCTGCTTAAAGGAGTAATGCCAAAATAATCACACTCATGTCTCAGGGCCCTTATGTTTACATTGTTAAGATCTATGTCCCTTGTTCGTAGAAAATTAAGTATAAGACCAAAAAGGTTTGGGTCTCTGTCTATGAATATGGCGCCAGTCTCATCCCGCACTGTAGGGATCCTGCCGCTGAGGAGGGCAGTGAAGAATGTCTCCGGAACCCAGGTCAGGGTATGCCATGATGTTGAGAATCTACAAAATTTTAGTAGTTGATAATGATAACGGGTTTTTTGTATGTTTTGTACTTGTGTAAATTTTATAACACATTTATGTATATTTATATAGAAAGTATTTTTTTCTCATACACTAACAAAAGAGGTATTTTAGTAAACACTCACTGACAGCAACAATGTATTCATAAAATATTTTTGATGCCATCATTAAAATAAACAATAGACGTAGATTATGTTTTTATTCAAAACACCGATTGGGGTGATTCTGTATTCATATTTTATGTGGTTCACATTCATGCTTGCTCCACTCACATCTTGAGTGCAAATTAATTATAAAGTACAATATATAAGTTTAGAGTAACGAGACCTAACAAATAGAAAAAAATAATACAAAAATATTGAATCACACTTTCTATTTGTTAGAACACTTACCTCGTGCCTCCTACGTTTAAGTTCACAATTTCTTGATAATTAGACATTGTCATCAATAATACGTTTGCTACAATCACATTAGTCAATCGGCTTTTTCTTACAATTTATTGAACGAGTTTAACTTTATTTCATTGGAATTTATTTACGTCTGGGAGAGATGGATGGCAAAATGTCAACGTCAACAAACAGCTGCAAAAAGTAACATTGTGTGCGTGTGGGTGTAACTACAAATAATGTATAAGTAACTAGTGTTGTGTTACATCCAGTGCTTTTCTTATTGCCATATCAAATAAATGTAAGGCAGGTAATACACAGACTCAAATTGGTAGGTCAACATAATTATGAAAAACCGGACTTTGAGAATACAATTCGGTCTTGACCATGTTTTTTTTAATTGGCAATCCAATAATGAAGAGAGACGTGTCCGTACGTCAGTCATCCAAAAAGTCAATTTTCTTCTGAATCGAATTGTTGGGACTGATGTATGAAAATATAGTTGTTGTGAATAATTAGGATAGTTGATAGAATTATCAGCCCTAAACATGACGCAGACAACAACTGCGAGGCAGGGCAACGGCAGTGATAAAGGCATATTCTCTAACACGGCCGGCTTTAGCACTTTGATTACTGTTACGGTATTGTCATTGGCTTGGCTGGCCGGTTTCGCATCCCGGCTATTTGCTGTAATACGTTTCGAAAGTATAATTCATGAGTTTGACCCATGGTAAGTGTGATGAAAATATATATTTATGGTAACCTGTTGAGGACTAGGTTCCCTCCATTTATTGCCAACGTGTTATAGGTTCAACTACCGATCCACGGCGTACATGGTACAGCATGGGTTCTACAACTTCCTCAACTGGTTCGACGAGCGCGCCTGGTACCCACTGGGTCGTATCGTCGGCGGCACTGTGTACCCTGGCCTCATGATTACATCAGGCACAATTCACTGGATCCTACACAGCCTAAACATTCCAATACACATTAGGGATATCTGTGTGTTCCTCGCACCTGTGTTCAGGTAATGGATTCTTATACTTTTTACCTTAACTTGAATTATTATTCGCTATTAGATTCTTGTAAGAAATGAGATCTGATAAGACTGATAAGTCCAAGTAGTACAATTACAAAAGCAAATAAAGTAGGTTGTTATTGATAAAGCAGACCTCATACTCTTTGCTTCAGTCTGATAAAACAGTACACATAGTGACTGTATTCTAGAGCAGCTTCTACCCATGTACCTAATCATTATTTAATTCTCTAATAATACAAAATAAAATATCATTAGAACTATAACAGTTTGAAACTTAAGAAAAGATAGATTATAATGTTTATTTTCCTTTTCAGTGGCTTAACAGCTATTGCAACATACTTGCTGACATCTGAGCTATGGTCTCGAGGAGCTGGTCTGTTTGCTGCCTGCTTTATAGCCATAGTGCCAGGCTACAGCAGTCGTTCAGTAGCTGGAAGCTATGACAACGAGGGTATTGCCATATTTGCCCTGCAGTTTACATACTACTTATGGCTAAAGAGTTTGAAGAATGGATCAGTTTTCTGGTCCATTTGCACAGCTCTGTCATACTTTTACATGGTAAGTTTATGTTATTGTTGTTCATACATATAAATATAACTTGGAGAACAATTGCCTTGTTTAATAAATATGGTAACGTTCGCATCTAACATATTTACCATACATTATAATAGTAGACTTAACATTTCACGAAGTAATTTACTACTTGTAGAAAGAATTTAAACATTGTAATGTGGTAGAATCTATTTACAAAAAGATATTTATTGGAATCTTTTATTTTGTTAACCTGATGTTCTATGTGTGGTTATAATTAAAAGACAAACTAACCAAAAAAAAAATTCAAATCTAATTTTAATTGTTTTAGGTGTCAGCATGGGGAGGCTATGTATTCATCATCAACTTGATCCCTCTTCATGTGTTCCTGCTTCTCATTATGGGAAGGTTCTCCCAGCGACTGTTTGTCAGCTACACTGTGTTCTACATTGTTGGACTGCTTATGTCCATGCAAATCCCCTTCGTAGGATTCCAGCCTATCCGGACTAGCGAACACATGGCTGCTTCGGGTGAGTGTTATTTTGATATCTGTGTAATCAAATCAATATTGTTAATATTGAGTGTATTCTGTGTTACCTTATGCAAATGAAAGCACTTGTTTTTTTTTAAAGAAATTAATCTAGTTGTCCTCAATCCTTCAGAAAATCAAAACATATTGAGAATGGTCCAATAGGAAGTTGCGTGCATGTTTTTATTATAATAATACTAGTTTGAGCCGCCTACTTCACCCACAGTTCCACAGAAATAGGAAAATTACAAATTTAATAGTTTTTATTTTGACAAGAAATTGAGTAACTGCCTGCAATTGATAACAGATACTTATTATATTGGAAACCTGTTGCTTTATGTAAAATGGTAAATGTAATGTTTACCTATACTCATATTTATTCATATGTTTTACTAACCTGACCTGATGAGAAAATCGAAAAAATAATTATACTGTTCTGGTATTGTGCTGTATTGACACAGTGAGTAGGTACCAGCTGTGATGCATTATTTGATAGGTCTAATTTTTGCTCGGAAATGTTATTGGTGTGTTTGAGGAATTCTTGTCTGGGTCTACTCCCACAATGTGGGATATTCTAGTCCCTTTTAAAGCGCAACATTAAGACAGATGAAGAGTTTAAATGTTAGTTTGAAAGCGCTAATCTCCAGAATTGTTACAACAAATTCCTTTAGTTTTTGATAGTCCATTTATCGTGATAGGCTAAACGTACACTACAACCAATAGTAGCCGAACAGCGGGTGGTACCGCGCGGGATTAATTTGTCATTAATACATTCAGCATGAAAAAACATTGATTTGACATTGTATTACACTATGTACTTGAGCGTAAGCTATGTGCATAAACAAGAAAACTAAAGTACAATTCGATAATTCTTTGGATAAGACTTAAATTGCTTTCATGGTCTTAATAGGTCTTAACCGAGATTCTATTTTCTGGGTAATTGATTAACCAATGATTGTTTAGAACACTGTAAAGTTGAAAAATGTTAGTCAGTAAAATTAAAATAAAATTAAGTTTTACAAACAACAAAAGAATACGATTAATATATTATTTAATATCTGTTGTTACTGTCCCGATAGTCAAGAGCGAAAGGTACGATTGCAAGAAAGAAGTCTGGTCAGGCAATGCAAAACTGTGCTTACTGATTTTTTTTCAAATCCTCTATTAAATTAGGTTTTGAAGCTTATTATTTAATGATTTAATTCAAAAACAAATGAAAAACGACTATTGCGATATTTACTCGAACATAGACTACTTCATTTGACCACTGCATTGAAAGAGCAGTTTACACAGCGAAACATGCCTCGACCTACATTCATGCATGACTGTTGATTGAAATACAAAAGGTAGATAAAAGAGGTTTTCTGTATACAGTTTTGATCTGGAATATATGCAAGCAGTTCAAATTCGTTTAAATAAAAAACATAAAAACGACTGGATATTTGTAGATACGTTACTTCAATACGGTCGCGGTAGTTTCCAACTAGTCAAATTCAATACTTATATCTAAACGTCAAAAACGATAGTTTTCTATGGAATTTGTATGAAAAACTGAGTTATGACGTCATAACATTTTTGCGTCAAATAGCTTACTTATTTCTTTATAATAAAAGTAAAGTTATATTTCAATATTTGATTGTATTGAAACGAATTGATTTATTTTTGACCCAGGAAACTACCCAATTGCACATACTATGATCACTCTTTAGCTTTCGCAACAAATCCCTCTAGTTGCCTTGCGAATGTCGTTACTTCACCTTCATCCAGCTCGAAAACTGTAGGCTATACAAAAATAGGTACATTTATTTAATTAGTTTTTTTTTATTTGGACGAGCTTTGAAACAACGCTCTGCATTATGTTTTAAACTGAGGTCTAATCCTCTCTGTTCCCTATCCACAAGATACATATTGTATGTAATATCCGATATTCAATATCCTCATCATCAAATGTGGGTAAATCTAGATCTAGTGTTGCAAGTGTCCATGGGCGACGCGAATCGTTTATCATCAGGCAATGCGTCTGTTGATTTGCCGCTTGATTAAGTATTCCTATTGATTGGAATATATTTTTGATTTTTCTCAAATTTTATCGAGTCCACTTACTCACATATGTAAGTATAAACAATTTTTAAATTGAATGGCTAGATTCATTCGTCGCTAATTGGTCCACTTTATGAAAAGTGCTCCCAAAATTTGTTTCCCAAAAATAAGTAAGTATACGGATGTAGTACTTACGTCTACAATTCGGACAATTGGATGGGTTTCTATGTGAAAAGTATTTTGAGTATTTAACTCTCATATTCATAGAAGATTTGACAATGATCTAGTTTTTGTATTTTTTCTAGTTAATTAGTATACTACTTGGTCGTAAAACTCATGCAAAAATCATAGAAAAATACAGTTTCCTCACAAACGGAAACAACTGGGTTCGTAGTCGTACAATTTATAAACAGTTGCTGTAAAGTTAGCGCGGCTATCATATAGATAAATAAACATGTATGAATGTACACAATTTCCTGCGCTTTGTGTAGCACGCTAACGTTCAAGGTGAATTGGAAATTGTATTGAAGTGTTGCTATTTTATTGGTCGATACCGAACTGTCCCGTAAGGCCATGAATTATTGCAACACTAATTATGCTTTTAAAGTAGCGTTTTGTTTTTTGACTAATGCATCGTATTTTGTAATGGCTATTTAAAAGTACTTTTTGTAGTTACGTGAACTATTGGAAAAAATAACTGGAATGCATTAAGAGTGGGAGAGAATGATGATAGCAAATGCGACTGTCAAGAAAGCTTGGTTTCGAAACCCTAGATCAGTGTTGCGTGAGGTTTCAAATTGAGTATGATTTATAGCAATATAATAGTATCATCCATATGGGGAAGTAGGTAACTGTGAAGGGCGCCAGGTTACGTAGGGACGCCACGGCGCGAACTTCGGGAGGCAGTGCAGATTTCATAAAAAAGGTGCTTGCCTAGGGCACTCCCAGATTTAATACGTCTCTGGATGGTAATGATTATTCGATGTCTATGATTCGAATCTTGATACCCGAAACTGGAGAACATAATGGTTGATAAGTAATACAACAATTAGCTTATAAGTACACGTCCCTCCTCGTCTATTTCCAAATAAAAAAAATGATTTCACATTACTTTTTAATTAAGCCTTTGACTGCCGACAGAAAACTGTTGAAGGCAAATCCTCCGCTAATGGAGGTCACCGGTGACCCCCATGGCGTTTAACGTATTAATGTTTCATTGTTGTGGTTTAGGTTTCAAATCGCTAAAGCCGTACTCGGACACATTTAACGTACTACACACACAAACTACTATTTAGTAAAGTTTTTTTCCGAAAACAATTGCGATTAAGTAACCATTAAAATTACTGTGAGAGAAACATAACACTAGGAAATAAGGAAAATAACAGTATGAAGTAAGGAAAATAAATGTATACTTGTACGTGTCTGGGGTACACATAATTGTGTTATACGTATATGTAGGTGGATAGACTAGACTGCATGTTATAACACAGTGGGTACTCGATCTAGGTTGGCCATGACATATTTGTCTAATAGGGTGAATAACCGACCCGAATATGAAGTTTTACTTTTTGACCTCCAATTAATAACTTTAATTATGTCAAAACTCGTGTTTCGTCGTCCACGAAATGAGTTTCAGGACACTCTTTTCATAGTAACATATGGACATAGTATATTTTTGGGACGAGCTATGGCTTATTGTGTCTTGGACTTGTTGATCGTTTTCGCTTTCCCTTTTACAATTTATATTGAATGTCTAGAAAAAAGATATTCTTCGTAGAAGATTTGAATAAATTCTTTAAAAAAATAAAGAAGAATAAATTACGGTTTTGAATTTAAGGCTATTCTCGTTTTTTTCAAGGTCAAAATGACACAGACCTCAAAGATATATTAAGTTTGTTTTATAATAGCAAAATTTGTTTTTAAACTTGTGCTCGTTCTGCGGTTTGAAGAGGCGCACTTGCGTAAATACAGGAATAATGAGTATCAGAGTTGGTAAAACGGTGGTAGTAAATGTCACATAGTCAAACTGCAATTTGTGCAATGCCAAAAAAAATTGATTACTTTGATACGATGTATAGTTATTGAATATGTGGGAGAGCCATGCTTCGGCACGAATGGGTCGGCTCGACCGGAGTGATACCACGGCCTCACAGAAAACCGGCGTGAAACAACCACAGCGTTGTGTTTCGCCGTGTGAGTTAGGTTACCGGAGGCCCAATCCTTCCCCTCCCCCAATCCCTCATCAATCCCTAAATCCCTAATCCCTAAAAGGTCGGCAACGCACTCGTAACTCCTCCGTTGCGGGTGTCCATGGGCGGCGCTGATTGCCTCCCATCAGGTAATTCGTCGGCTCGTTTGACGACCTATCACATTAAAAAAAATATGTATAATTGTTGTACACTTTAGTTTCTATGGTTTCATACATCTTCTATTTAAATGCATTCCACTCGATTGGTTGCATTTATGCTAATATTTTTAAGCACTACACTTCACATGAATGCAGTTTGGCGACAGGCCAACTTACAGCTTAGTTTAACTGTATTTACATAAAATTACGTAATTTGGAGTCACGTCTCCGTATCATGGGGTAGAAAGAACGTTGCGCTCCATCTTTGTTCCCTGCATACGTACTTTCCATCAATTTTTGTATTTGCCTATTTGAGATTATCATTTTATTTTGCGTCTCTGAGTGCCGTTGTCTCTGCTAACATAAAAAAACTTACGGTTAAAGTCAAGAATAATAGGTACGTCTCTTACACGATGCGTACTGTTGCGTACTTAGATGCCATAAATCTCATCTCTTTATTTATGTTATGACATTCTTAATTAAATAAATAATGTGGTATTAATCTCAGGCTGAAATATTCCAAAGATCTCAGTGGGCCAAGGTGAATATGGCAAGAGAAAGTAGAGGACAATAAAAGTGATAATCTGAAATTCAGGTGATGATAATGCTAGGATACTTATGATCCGTAGAAGTGTAGGTTAAATGCAGGAAGTCAAACACTGTAAAGCAAGTACTGGCTTTCAGCCGAATATAATTAAGACGCAGTGCTGACCCCAAAAACGAAATGGGAAAATAGACCATTTATGCCATAAAGCCTTTTATGTCAGTTTATAGTAGACTGCTTATAATAAGAAACAATAATAATATATATTTATTTTTCCTACAGTCGATAATGATTTATTCTACCTCTTATCACGTAGGGTACACCTGGATAGCCTTCTTTTATTCTCACACATTTTTATGAAGTTGCTCACTAATTTGTTGTCAGATTATCAGATCGAATAAAAATGGTATCGGACAAGATCGTAAATATCCAATGTTGATCGTAACGCTTGCTTGGCCTAAATGTCTGCGTCCATTTTAATTTGCGTTAATCGCAACATGATTTTATAAATATATTATTTAAGTTTTTTTTTATGTGATAGCACATCTAACGAGCATACGCATTACCTTTTTTTTGACCGTTTCTTCTCTTGCTCGGTGCCGAGGTCGCGGTGCCTTATTGCGCTTACCCCGCAACCCCGGCTGAACATCAGCCCTATAGGGGCCCGTCTGTGGTGGTCTATTGGCTCTTTGAGGCGCGCGCGGAACGTTTGCGCGCCGTTCGGTTCTGGTCGGGTGGCGAGCTACCCTTACTTGCTGTCCGCAGACCTGCGTTTGCGGTGGCCGGAGATCGTCTCTCTACGAATGTCGCCTACTGCGGTGACACCGCAATAACGGAAAACTTACGAGTGCGTTGCCGACCTTTAAGGGATTTAGGGATCAGGGAGGGGAAGGATTGGGCCTCCAGTAACCTCACTGACACGGCGAAACACAATGCCGTGGTTTTTCCGCGTGCCGTGGTATCATTCCGGTTAAGCCGACCCTTTTGTGCCTATGCATGGGTCTCCTACACGTATTAGATATTTTGCGATTTTGCGTTGATCACAACAGGATTTTACAATTACTCTTTAATACACACGTAGTAGTTTTTGTTGTAGTTTTTTATAGGAGCGAGGAGTGCTCGTTTGCCGAACTATCCCATAAAAACATAAACTTAATTTTCTACGTTAATTATAAGAAAAGTAAGGAACTACCTAACTACTATACGTCTCTTACGCATTTACGAAACTAAACCCGTAATATCTTATCCAGTAGTTATTCAACAGTGTATATTGTTAGTATCAGTTTGTTTACTCAGATCCTGAATTTCTGAACTATTTCAAGCTGGTGCGGACAACGACACCGCGATCCATGCCGAATCATTCGGCAGCTGTTACATTCGCCGATTGTTTTATTACCATTTACGTGTTTCTATTTTTATTTTAGTTTTTTTTACTTCGATGATTTATAAAGTTTATTTCATCAATATGTAAGGTGGCGCGATGGAACGGTGATTTGCTTTAAAAAACAAGCTACCTATCTATAAGAATTGTTCTGATTAGGTAGATTGTACCCTTACCCTTATTACGATTTTTATGTTTTTGTCAAAAAATTGTACATTGTATACGCGTTGCTGATGATGGTGTCGTGTCTATGTTTAAAGATATTATATAAATCTCATTGTTGTTAGAATCTTTCTTAAATTGGCCATAGTTTTACTTGTTGTTAAAATAACGCCTTTAGCATTATTCTGACTGTAAGTATGAATGCGATAAACTCAAAGCCGATTTTTGGTTTAAGTATTAGATATGTTAGTTTTCACAAGGAGGTACACAGCAGCTTTTCTAAAAACATGCACTTTATAAGATTATCTTGTCAACAGGTGTATTTGCGTTGCTGATGGCAATTGGTGCATTGAAATACCTGCATAGCCTGAACCCTAAAGGTCAGTGGAAGCAGCTGCTGATCCTGGGCGGTCTGGCTGCCGCTGGCACAGTGTTCCTCGCTGTCGTGCTGCTGACTTACGCTGGAGTCATCGCGCCATGGAGTGGAAGGTTAGTGCTTTCTCAGGACCGTATCAACTAGCATTTTTTTATTAGAGAAATACCATCAAATAACTGCTCCCGCCCTTGGTAGGGAGTGTCAGACTCTTACTGACTACCTTCTCCTGCTCTAGGCTGTTTATTTTTGAGTAGAGGGAGGCTTCAAATGGGAATGCTCTGGCGTTAGGTGGAGTGGCAGACTCGCACTGGCTAACAACCACCATTTCTTCGTTCTCTCTCCTGCTCCGAACTGGGGCCGTGGTTTATTATTGTGCTTGCATCCACAACCCTGGCTGAATAGTCTGAAGTCCCTGAAATGTAGATTCAAATATGAGAGGAATGTATGTGAATACGCGTTATATAAATTTAGTAACTAGCTTCGCCTTTCTTAAACATGTGACTCATACCCAAGTCACAGATAATCGACATTTAAAAATTAATGGCTAATCGTTCGTGACCTGCTCAACAAATAGGCTAGTTAGCACCACTTTTGAATGAACATGTGGTTAATCACACGAATACCCTTATTGATACGAAATAAAGTTTAAAATGTTTGCGCAGACCAAAATGGAAGTATTGAGAAAGTCGTAGTACCATTTGTTTTGTTTTCTAACATGATTATCTATTTCAGATTCTACTCACTATGGGACACGACATACGCAAAGATCCACATTCCTATTATTGCGTCGGTGTCAGAGCACCAGCCTACGACCTGGTCATCATTCTTCTTTGACCTTCACGTCCTTGTGTGCACCTTCCCCGTCGGTCTGTGGTACTGCATCAAGCATATCAATGACGAGAGAGTTTTTGGTAAGATTATTCTTCTCGAGTTTCTTAATTCTTGATTAGATGATAATTCGATTCTTTATTTTTGGTCAATCTTTATTGAGTTAAAAAAAACTTTTCCGAAAAAAAAAACACAGCCAAGATCAAGGCGTGATACCGAAGCATATGAATCTTATGAGCCCTTGAGATTTTATAAAACTGATTAGATTTTATTATATGATTTATGTTTTAATTTAGTTCTATATAGGTTTATTAAAGTAAAGTTATCTGATATTAGTTCATTACATTTGGATATATTACAACTGGAACAATTTATTTTCTTACCTGGAGAGGGGCACTGATAACTACAGCACAGTTTTATATTATTGCTGTTTTCATCGTTTCAAATTGTTTGTATTTGTATGTTTTTATTGTTCCAAATAAATTACTCTTGTTTTATTTATTTATCAATATTTTAACGAGTACATTTTCGTTCCAGTGGCTCTGTACGCGCTTAGTGCGGTGTACTTCGCGGGAGTGATGGTCCGTCTGATGCTGACCCTGACTCCCGTGGTCTGTGTACTAGCAGGCATTGCTTTCTCCATCCTGTGCGACCTGGTTCTCAGAGAAGAGGAACTGCCCACACAACAGGATGAAACTGAAGAGTCCAAGAGTTTGTATGATAAGGTAACTTACTACTTTTCTAATTGACTCTTTGTTGCCTTGTTTTAGAAATACATATGTATATGTGTTTTACATATTACATTCGCCATATTATTGTAATATGTCTAAATTTTTTTCGATCAATTATTTCAAACTTTTATCAACGTAAATCCAAGTCTTAACACAGCAAAAAGAATAATGTCATACAGCATATCTTCTGAAAAATGGTTCTCTTTACACTATACCAAATTTATTAATTTGCAATCTTATATTTTTATGATAAAGTCGAAATTCAATAAACATTAAAATTCCTGATCATTTCCCGTAAATTAATAAGTTTCATCAAAAATATAATAATATTTCAACAGGCCGGTAAACTAAAGAAGCGTACCCATGAGCAGCCCGCCCCAGTGGACCCGGGACTCGGCATGAACGTCCGCTCGGTGACGTTGATACTCATCATGATACTGCTCATGTTGTTCTCCGTGCACTGCACCTGGGCTACCTCCAATGCTTACTCCAGCCCCAGTATCGTGCTAGCTAGCTATGGAAACGACGGGTAAGTTGGCTATCCTATATTTTTTCTGCTCATAATATATTCTTGAAGTAAACAAAGGCTCTGGCGATATTTGTGATAGGAATAGAACAAGCCGAACATGCTTAAATTTCGACTTTCTTGTAGGGCTTTAAACATACGCCTAAACCTATTATTAATCAAAACAATTCAAGATTTAAAAAAAAACTACGTTTCGCTTCGTGCCGTTTTCATAGTGATATTTCAAGATTATTTTTTATTAATAAAACTTATGGTTTATGTTCTTACCGCTAAAGTATAAACTTAATTAATTTCATTTTCAGAACTCGTAAGATCCTGGACGACTTCAGAGAAGCATACGGCTGGTTGTCTCAGAACACTGCTGAAGACGCGAGGGTCATGTCGTGGTGGGATTACGGATATCAGGTAAGCGATTGAACACAATATGCCATTAGAAATAAAGGTCTCTGGCTAGGAGTAGGAGCAGGAATGGGGTGGTTTTAGTCAGCAAAAGGACCATCCAGGACAGGAGACGTAATTTCATCAATTTCCTACACAAAAAAAAAAATCCCAAGGGCTAGCGAGCTAATATATCGTCTTTTTTATGTGATAGCACGGCTAACAAGCATACGCATTACCTGACATATTATTATAAGCAATCAGCGCCGCCCTTGGACACCCGCAACACCAAAGGAGTTACGAGTGCGTTGCCGGCCTATGGGTGATTGGGAAGGGATAGGAGAGGGGGGGGGGGTTGGGAAGGTATAGGAGAGTGTAGGGATTGGGAAGGGATAGAGAGGGGGAGGGATTGGGCCTCTGGCACAGATTAAACAAAAGGCAGATAGACCACACGGAACAATATTTATGTAAGTTCAGGTTCTCTCATGATGTTTTTCTTCGCCGTAGGTCTGTGGTGTCTTAAACGAGCACATATTACTCGGAAAAGACTTCATTGGTACTCAGCAGGATTCGAACCCTCATGCACGGGAAGCGGGAGTCTCAATCTCCTCTATCCTAATGATAAATGCTCAAACCTTCTCCGTGTGAGAAGAGGCCTTTGTTCAGCAGTGGGAACTTACAGGTTGATGATGTGATTTCATTCATCTTTTCAGATTGCAGGAATGGGCAACCGTACAACGTTAGTGGACAACAACACGTGGAATAACTCTCACATAGCGCTTGTGGGTAAGGCTATGGCCAGTAACGAGTCGGCGGCCTACGAAATAATGACTATGCTGGACGTGGACTATGTGCTGGTCATATTCGGTGGGGCTATCGGATACTCGGGTGATGACATCAACAAGTTCATCTGGATGGTCCGTATCGCTGAAGGAGAACATCCTAAGGATATTCATGTGAGTCATTTTTTAATACTTTTAATTTGGTTGGAGGTTTATTAGTCAATTTTCAATTAATCAACTGAATTGATAGTCGCGTCATTCATTAAATTCAATCACAAAAATAGAAATTATATTTTTATTTTGTCATTAAATATGGGATACGGACCTATGAACTCAATATGTTGAACATAAATAACATAAAATAATATGTTTATTACAGGAAGCTGATTACTTTACGGAGAGAGGCGAATACAGGGTCGACTCGGAAGCGTCGAAAACTATGTTGAACTGTCTAATGTACAAACTATCATATTATAGGTAAGTTTTTAGCATTATTTACTTCCTCTATTTTTCTAGCTGCAGCTTCACAGTATCAGCAACTGGTTTCGGGAGCTTATGATGTAATCGATAAACCAGAATGTAACTAATAATCAAATATTTAGTTACGGGGCCTTTTCACTTAAAATAAATAAATATTTTATCTTTATTTACACTTATTGTTGTTTTTTACAGATACGACAGTGGCGGTAGTCCCCCAGGCTACGACAGGACGCGTGGGGCGTTGCCTGGGAACCGCGGCTTTAAGCTCACTTACCTAGAGGAGGCCTACACCACTGAACACTGGCTGGTCCGGATATACAGGTAATAAGACTTACTTTACTCAATATTATAGTTGCTGGACGAAGCTATCGATTTTTTTTTCACCAGATGGCTAATACAGCAAGCTACAGCAAAAATAAACGATAGATTACCAAACAAACAACAAAGGAAGTGTTCAATTATGTATATATTCTTTAAGAATAATACCATCTACTATGGTATTTGGGTAAACGTTAAAGTTATACAATTAATTTCAGAGTGAAAAAACCAGACGAGTTCAACCGTCCGCGTTTGCCGCTTGCAAAAAGAACAGTTCCGACTAGCAACACTATATCCAAAAAGGTAAGATATTAAATATTGTGTTATTACAAAAAAAAAAAAAATGTTTTATTACTAACCATCGCCAACTAATCTCGGAGGATTATAATTGTTAGGAAATTGAGTTGTTGTTGTTGTTGTTGTTGTTGTATTACATAGACTACATGCGTCACATGCAATAGGGATGTCGATTATTTTTTTGGACATATTCAATTATAGATTTTCTCGTAATGTATTCATCCCTAATGCAAACAGTTTGCGCAGATAGTTAACAAATCAAAAATTACTATGTGGATAGTGTATTATATTATCTATGTCTAACTTTACTACCAATATTCAAGGTCTTTTTAAACTATACAGACCTTGCTTTTGACTAAATATTCATAACTATTCGTTGAGGATGGACTATATAACTCAGAAGTAAATTGAGATTTATGTAACTGGAAATAAGTACCGATGTTTTCTTGGTCAAAGAAAATGATTTTGACTTCGACGAGTTTTTTTTTTCTAATTACCTACTAATTAAAAATAAGTTAATGTGTACATAACAAAATTATGTATTCCACACAGTGACTTATTATCTTTTTTGATGAAATAATGAATTTGACTAATTGGAAATATCAAAGTTCTTATAACTAAAATCTGTGTGTGACTAACGGTGTACTGACAAATTTTCTCGTATTCCAGCATGCCTTAGGAGGCGGACCGATGGTATAGTACCCTGTTGAGTTCTGTTTGACATGTATGTGGTTATATGTAGCCTGAGCTTGTGTGACGTCATACCATCTGCGCTTTACTGTCTTCTTATACTTTTTGTAGAAATTAAAAATGTTTATGTTGTAATGGTTAATCATTGTACGTGTTGTGTTGTTGTTATGTCGCGGGGCATTAGGCATGTTTTGGTTTCCCCAACCCGTCTATGAATGGTTCTAAACTCTATGACCTCATGAAAATTTTCCTTATCCCTATTAGTAGTGTGTAGTATCAGTATTTTTAATTTGTTTTATTAAATCAGAAAAGTAAAGTAGATAAAATATAATGAGTTTTTTTTGTTAATTTACAACAAGTTTTTTTAATAGATATTGTATCAAGACGGTAACCATCAAACTTAGTGTTATTAATGATTGCATGTTTTATATGACGTGCAAATACGGATTGATGAATGTGACTTATTGGCTGCAGTGCTTGACGTCATTTGGAGAGGACAACTTTTGGAATGGACTGCTATAATAATATGTTATTTTCCCTGCAGACAACTAAAAGACGAAAAGGGATGCTGAAAAACAAACCGACGATTGTGAAGGGTAAGAAGGTGGTGAAGTTGGAGTGACGCAGCGTGCGAGGCCGGCGGCGCGCGCGCAGGGCCCGCCGCCTGCGCAGCTAGTGCCGCGACGGTGGCGCCGCGCCGTGTTTTGTGCACACGCCTGTCTGCCACCACTGCATGGACAACTTGCGACTCGCCCTCGCACTACACGAACACAATGACGACCCAACACACTGAACTCTACCAACCCTTACTCTGCTACAAGTAAGATTTCACCCTAATCCTCCTGCCATAATAATATACATTCTATTAAACTTAAGTAGTGTACGTTTAATTTATTTCTCTCTGAAGTCACATTTATTGTAATCTATTAGGTTTTAGAATGTTTCGGATACGTATTGTTTGTATATTTCGCAGTTCTTTCCAAGTGAAATCTTACATGTATTAGAATTTATCACATTGAAGGCCTAAAGTTTACGACAATAGGTATGAATATTGTTCCATTAAAGCCGTGTTTTCATAATGAATTTATCATCAAATCTCGTTACCCGTGTTGACCCATATACAAGTTGCCATTGTTAACTCCTCGTTCGATATTTAAATAATATTCAATATTTTGGTGTAGGTGTTTGTGTGAGTTATTCATGCAAGTAATTCTTCTTATAGGTATGTGTGTGAAATATTTGTGTATGTGATTGTAGTGACATACAAGACACGGAGCCGCCACTGACGTTTTTAAACTGATGATGACTGACACCAATATATATTGTATTTTAGTCCATTAGATAAAAAAATGTTTCTAAAAATATTTAGTTCGTTCTAGCACTGGGTAGATTGGTGTTTAAAATAAGTGTTGATTTTTCTCATAAATACTTAGAAAATGCAATAATTCTAATAAAGAAAATTATTAATAGTACAGAAGTAATATATTTGTTTATGTATGAAGAAAGTGGGATCTGTAAATATGCTTCATTTACTTTGTATTTGAAATTATATTCTATTCCGTATTATATTATATTGTGTGGCAATACTGCGACTTACGTTTGCGTTAGTCGTGTATAAAGAATAGTGTATCGGTGACTATTTGTGTATTTAAAGTAATTACATTAATATTTCTTAATTGGATATAAATACACATGAAAGGTAGACAGCATAATGTCCCCTCATTTCTCGAGAGATTCGTTTAGTCCGTAGTGCATTAATAATTTCGAGTAAATATCACTGTTCTGTCAATTTAATAGATTGTGTAATTGTGTTAAGGTAATGGCTATATATGAATATAATTTTGTAGTCAAGTATCCTCAGTCGTGACTAATATATAGCGCGCGGGAGTTGCTCTGTCGTGAGAGCTGTGCAATGTGTTCGCGACACAATAACAGAGTAAATCTGAATTATATTTGTAATTGCTACGTCCATTTGTATAGTAATTGAATTTATATTTACCGCTATCTGTCCTACTGTCCGTTTCTCTTTATTTTTCATGTAATTTATTGAATTCTTATAAATAATGATAATGTTGCCTCGCTACACTTCAGTACTTACCAAGTTTTATTGTAACACTTAGTTAACAAGAGTTAAGATGCAGTACTATTTTGTATCTTATGTATGTAACGTAATTATAAATGTAACCAAAGTTTGAAGTCTTGTTCTCATGTTAAAACTAGTGGACATTCCCTAGTTATGTTATTCATAAAGTTTTTCTGTAAGTTTACAATTTTACTTGTAGTGTTGTGTTCTGCATTTATTTTGTATATCTATAATGTCATTAAAATGTTTATCTGTATAGCGGAAACTAAAAAAAATAAGATTATGCATATTTTAAGTGATACTCGAGTATGATCAGTCGTAACAAACTCAGTTTAAGCTGTGTACGTTTCCTTCTTGTATTTATCGCAACTTCAACTTCATCGCAACACTACACTAAAGTTGTAAACGTTTCGCATACTTACAAATTTATCAAAATAATGTAAATTGTAATTCAATGGTGATTCATATAATTCAGTGGGTGTTAATGTGTTACGTATTTTTATTTTATTTTTTTGTTGTCCATCATTTGTTTTGCGTAATTGTAACAGAGTTTTATCGATCTGTAGATAAGATACATTGTGATAACAATGTTCTTAATAAACGGATGGAGACGACAATTTTTGTTTCATTTTTATGTAGGTATTACTCACACCTTCACACCTCATGCTACAGCGATCGAGTCATCTTTTTCCTTTTTAAAAACGTTGCTCCACAATAACTCCTACGTCGTAAAGTTTATATTAAATATATCATACCCGAACTCGTAACAACAACTTGTGAATCACACAAAAAATTTTACGTGCGGGAGTCGAACCTCCGGCAAGTTGTACGGAAGAAGGTTGCCCAGCTACCGCATCAACTGTGCAGTCAGAAATCAATAAAATGAATATATTCTTCTCATTTATATCAATTATTCAGCTACGATGTTTAAGTTATCATGTATATTATATTGAAATCAAAAATATCTCAGACTAGGTAAAAAACTCCTTCTAGCTAAAATCTTACGAAGTTGTTCCAATTATTCCTCCTGAAAACTTTTTCTCTTGAAAAGATATATTTTATGGTTGGTGAATAAGGTGGAAATGAGTAAAATGGGCCTTCTGTTTAGTTTTCCGAACATAAACATCTGGACATCGAAGGTCTGGCTTTATAAGCTGCTCCTCACGCCCCAGCCGCATGTAGGCAGCATTCCGGGCGTTCTCGATCCCCGATCGAGAGACGATCTCCGGCCATCGCTTTTACGGACGACGAGTAAGGGTAATAGCTCGTTACTCGACCAGAACCACCAGACCCGAGCGTTCCACGGCGCTTTAATGAGCTAATAGACCACCACAGACGGTGCCCGATGTTTAGCCGGCGTTGCAGGGTAAGCGCAATGAGTCGCAGGTCACCGCGGCCTTGGAGCAGGAGAAGGAACGGAGGCTTTTTTATTCAGTAAGAGTCTGACACTCTGTCTCGCCTTACTTTGAACGGGACAAGGCATTTGATGATTTTCAAAAGAACAAAAAAAGGGTGTAGTAAGCTAGAATCAAGAGGATACATTGGCGGTAATGCCTTGCTTAGGCTGAGCACTGCCGTGTCCTGAGTGAAGCGGTCGCTGGCAGTGACTTCTCGGGCCAAAGTCAATGTTGCAAGTGCAAGCGCAATAATGTACCTACCGTGGTGCGGTTCGGAGCCGTAAACGAAACGGGGTATTTTGTAACCAGCAAGTGCCACCCTGGGCAGTAGAAGTCACTAGTTGATTTTTCTCTACAAAAAATAAATAGGGTTGGAAGAGAGGCCTAAAGTCTCTACTAGACGCTTTTAGGGCCCTACAAGGCACGCAAATGCACTATGCTAACAGCACAAATAATTTGGATAAGCTTGCCGGAGGTCCTTCCCCTCCCCCAATTTCTCCTCAATCCCTAAATTTCCAAATCCCTAAAAGGTCGGCAACGCACTCGTAAGTCCTCCGTTGCGGGTGTCCATGGGCGGCGCTGATTGCTCACCATCAGGTAATCCGCAGGCTCGTTTGCCGATCTATTACATAAAAAAAATACTGTAACAGTTCCTATGTTCGGCACACTGCTGCAATGGTAACTCCATCCAAACCTTGTAGCGACGGGAGCTACGTCGTAACTTAGACTTGCTACGCGTAAGCATCGGAAGTTACGTTGCAACCGACAGTCTTGCTACGACGTAGCATCAGGAGCTACGTAGGTTCGTAGCGAATTAGGAATAAAGATTGTGAATGTAATAATATTAATTGAGTACTTACAGTAATAGTCATATAAATAGAGGTGACACAGGGTAAAAATAAAAACAAATTGACAAAACCTTCACCATATATTTATTAATAAAGACAATCTAAAAGATCACGTAATAGTCATTGTCTTAAAAAATTAGTTACCCTAATAAATTTATCAATATATATAATAGAGATTAATTTTATTACTTATTGTTTCAAGGATATGCGAAGTTGTGAAGAGTCGCCCAGCACGGTAGGGTACAGGACTCGAGTTAAGTCGTTGTTCTTACGAATCATCACATTGATCGAATATAACAATGAATCTATTCATACATTACACTTACATCTTCCAATGAATACCTCTACGTCTTCGTTAAATCTAAATGCTTAGTAAATTTTTGGCCTAATGTGTCTACGCGAAGAATTGTGCTAATCTAAAAAGGTGTCTACATTTTTTTCCATAGTATTTTCCAAAGACTTTTGTAATTTACAGAATTTTCAAAATCACAACACAGAGTGTAATATCAATTATCGTGCGTTTGGCACGTGTACATTAATCGTCTACAGTTATATTACAAGTAAGTACGTATTAAGTACGTTACGAAGTACCGGAGCGGGCGCGCGGGCCGGCATTCGCCTGCCGCGCCGCTCGCGCGCGACATACAAAATTAGAAGAATATAATATCCATTTAGACTTACAAAATATTAATACTATAGTAACATTTTATGTGTTCACACAAATACAGAAGTACTTACATTTACACTATGTGCCAGGACTACAGAGTTGAAACGAGACTCGGAATCCGAGTCTCGGATACAAGAACATTCAAGCGAACATAACATCGGTATTACATCAACATTAACATTTAGTACTTACACTTAATTAGCGCTGTATTCAATGGTGATTCATTATGTTACAATATTTGGTATAATGTATTCCTCACGTTATTAGACTCTTCATACAATTGACCTTTAGTTATTGTGGGTTACGATAATCTGATAATGTTGTAGATGAAATTTGTCACAATTTAATACTATAGACGTTCCTAATTTTTAAAGAAAATATGAAAAAATAACGTCTTTTTGGTTTTCTTTAAACCTCTAATTTTACTTTCTAAGAATATTTTATTTAAAGAAACGAAACGAACATAAAATAAAACACGACAGTGCGATCCTCACATCGGTTCTGTCCTAGCAGAACGGACAGTGGATCAATAAATGCAATTTCCAGTGCTTTTAGATATTAAAACGAATATAAATTAAGAAAATAGTATAAAAATTAAAATTGTAAGGCACTTCTATATTTAAGTTGAAATAAGTTTTGTTTAAATCGTTAAGTTAAATTTTATATTTAGGTGAGTGCATATTTCTATTAGAATACAGCGACGTTTCCTAGGGACCGCTAGATGGCGCTCGCAGCGGGCGCGCTACGCTACGTTACTTTGGTTAAATTAGGGCATCATTACAAAGCTATACCCTGACTAGTATGAATGGGCATGGAATGGGTTAGTGACGACACGACTGGATTACACTACGCAGTTATTAAAACAGAGCAAGGAGGAGCTATCGTTCCATTTACGCGAAATTAACGAATTTAACGTGAATTTAGAAAGTACCTTTCAGTCTTAATGGCTAAGAGTATTGTTAAAAAATATTTCTGGAGGGACTTGTCTTTAATAAATTGTATTACGACGTAGAACTATCTCCGGTACCGATATAGTTTACTTTGGAAAAATATTCAGTATTTACACATTCGTTTTGTATGACTTATTTTTTTTATTTTTAAGAAAATAACTGTGTACTCTCTTAATATGAAAAGAACGATCGATCTGCAGCCTAAAAGATACGAGGCGGTCTCAAATGTGACACTATCGGTATTCTGTTTCACAGTAAGTAGCTTACATGTAACGTCAGGTGGTTTGTGCCACTATGGCCTTTACGTTTGGGGTTTCAGTACAAGCCTTGCCTTAATCTAAATGAAACGCGACTACTAACTTAGGCAGTTTGTTCACTTAGTAATATTTCGTTCTAATTTGTACCTAATTTAACTAACAATTTGGCAGAACATTGGCATCGAGTTAGAAAGTATAGAATTAACACGAACTATTAGAAAATTTCGTCTAAATTGTTAAAGATAGATTAACACAACCAAATAATCACACAAGTTAGTGATTTACGAATAAGTTTACAACATTATTATTATTAATTAATTAATTAATTAATTAGATGTAGTACTGTGGCAGAACTCTGATCAGGTACCCGTGGAAGGAGAACGAAAATATTTTCTATCTAAATAGATAATTAGTAAGTAATACGTCATTATACCTGCGTCGTGTGGTTACCGTCTGCGAAGTATCACGCTTATTGTGTCTTATGATTAATTAATACATTTAAATAAATTAAGGGTAACTTTTGTAATTTTAAAATTGCTTATCACAAACTGTAAGATCGTTGTACTTATATTCAAACAGCATCTGAATTATTACTTAAATATTAAATTTAATTGAAATATTTTCTCTACGACATTAAATTAGAATAACTACTTTTTTCGATTATAATTAAGGTTTAGACACACAATAAGCGCTATACAAGACAGACGTTCTTTCGGAAAGATTGACGAAAATATAATCTCGATATATGTATTAAGAGCTACTTCCATAATACTGTGTGTAGCACGCGTTGTACGCAATCATAAATAGTCATTGGTTAATTTTACACTAAACAAGAAGTTGTTAACAACAATAAATAAAATTCAAGACTAATTTGTTATAAACATGTCTTTTACGAGGAATTCTGCCCCAAAATTAATTTAGTTAGAAGTATCGGAAGACAATAAAAGAGTAGACTAAGAAACATCACAACCACCAAGTATTTTGTTATTCGATTCGAAAATAATTTGTCAACTTTGGGAGCAGCTGAGTACAGGATGTACGGAACACATTAAGATATCCCTATCTATATGTTCTCCATAAGATTTTCAATCCTACTACGGAAGGAATAGAGTTGAAAACTATCAGAGAAATTCGATGGGATAGCTTAATGTGAAGGCGTAGATACCTAGTGCCAGGCTAGGGTGACACATTCGCTACACATTTTGAGCAAGTATGTTCAGGTATTGCCCGGTTTGTACCATCAAATTATAGTTCGAACACGATGAAACAATAAACCATACATACATAGGTATATCACAACACGTAGGTACACGTAGACACATTTACAAGACATCCTTATAGAAAGTAATCATAAATTAACTATACATTTGTCAAGTATCAAATAATGGCAAATTCAGAACGATCAACAAGGAACTAGATTAGATAATAATATTACCAACATAAAATATAGCACATTTGAGCATTCAATAATATTTGTGTAAAAAAATATTATCCCTCCATTTTGTCGAGGTCCGGGAGCGTCTCGGCGTCAAGTGGGAGTGAGTAGTATACAATATATAATATAATTTACAGCTAAGCAGTGACGGACATCAATTCATTGTTTAGTTACGATCAATCTAAAGTATCAATCTGTTGGCTCCCAGTCGAGCGCGCCGAGCGGCGACCCACGGACCGTGCGTGCGAATATTTCCTCTATAAGTGTTGAATCAACATCGATATGTGACTAGTAGGTACGGATGCTGAATTGAATTCCGTTCTCTTAACAATAACACTAACTACAACAGAGCAATGAAATAGTGCATCAACATAAAATTGTCTAATACGACTAGAAAAATAAATAGAAACGAATTACTAGAAAAATTAACAAAATAATGAGCAAACAAGCAAATGTAACAACGAGCTCAGCTCGCGACCAAACGAAACATTGAATAGAGACGAGGTAGTGTAGTTGCTACACGATCTATGTTATCACACGTACGTTATACTAGTATATTTGAATACTTATAGAGCTGTCACTCGCGCCTCGATGGAAACCGTAGCGATATCGATACAACCAACTACTTGTTCTAAATATTTACAACATCACACTTGCAAGTCACATCGAGAAGTCTGTCATATAAAAACTTTACCAAGAGCTATCTAGTTATTTATTTATGTATCAATCGTTATACAAAATATCTTTATGCGCTCTCTCCGAAGCTTAGCATTAGGTACGAGTTAACGACAATTTCGAAAGTTTACTTTTAAATAGGTATTTGTCCGAAGCGAATTCTCGTCTAGCTACTAGATTCTACGTCGCTCTTTCTAGGTCACTTTGAATTAATTCTATAATAATAATATAATATGTTTACTAATAAATGCTTGCGATTCAGCATTAAGTCCGAGTCCGAGCGAGTGACTGAGGGCGGGGTGCGAGTGCGGGCGGTTACTGGCAGGTCGCGGGCGCGGGGGACCGGGAGGGGGAGGGGGAGGGCGCGGGTTTGCTTTGGTATTCAGCTGTCGCGTGGGATCTGTCATCGGATCTTTCGACCTTTTCATAAGGCTTTTCGAGTTTTGGCCGTTTTGGCTCGGCGTCGAGTGGCCGGTGCGACTTCATGTGCGCGCTACGACTTTTTACTTTGTTAAATACTCTGAAACATAACAGGGTACACTATTAGAAATAGCAACACAAGAAACATAAACAGAGAAGCGAAAGAAAAACGAAAGTGTTAAACTCAAAGCACAACTGCAGATAAAGCAAGCGTGAAGCGTTAGTATTAGAGAAAACTTATATACATACAACATTAATACACAAAACCCTTTAAATATTAATCCTACGATAGTTACGATAATAATAAATAAATAAGATTTCAACCTCTTATGCAATGGACATATAAATTCACTGTCTTAAAATACAATGAAAATACATTATCTATAATAATAATATTTACATGAATCGCTGTCAAATTATATAAATGTATTCATTGTAGCCTTACCATACAACTACTCGTTAAACGTTTGAATTTGTATAATAGCAGTTTAATGGCACGCAAGATACAGTATAAATAGTACACAACACTTTCGTGACCTTTGCTAACTTTACTCTAACAAAATATATTTCTTAATAGTATTCAATGAAGATTACGTGCTTCCGAAATTAGGCACCGTGGATGCTTGGCACAAGTACATTTTTGGCAAAGTACGCCCCTTAAACATTTCTATTATGAATAGATATATAGATATAGTACAAATAAATAATATAATTAGTTTAAAAGACGAAGGTCGGCAATCATCGTGACGTATGTAGTCCGTGACTGCCTGTACTGTCGCAGGACTCGTACGTCGACGATTTACGATATTACACAACTAGTGCCGAACTCACTGAGCCGTACTATTATCGTTAAACTTAATATCCACATAGTTCTCTCCATTCAGTTAGTTACTATGAAGCTGTAAATATTTTTCTTAATACATAATGCATGCACGAAAGGCAATTTAGGTGAAACGTAACCTGGTTAGTTAGTGTAAATGTACATGTAAAAAGAGGATCAAGAACATCCATACGTTTGGCACGTGTCATAGTTTGAGGAAGTCGGTAATGTTCCACGTAAATTGCGTTTGCGCAGTTGGCTGTATGGTCGATACTGTAAGCGGTATGCAGTCGCGTGAATGATCCGCGCCTCGGAACTTACTTCCCGCATATCTTGCAGGGGAACTCCTCGGTATCGAACGATGAGGTCGGAGCTGTGCACGACGCGGCTTGTGTCGCGGATATCTGCCCTACAGAGCCCTGGATGTGGATAAGTCGCGTGTATTAAGATTCCGTCAATTCGGTGTTCACTCATCAGAAAGCCGGAAGAGAAAATGTTGTAGTCCGGAGTGTATGGCGGTGCTTACTTGTGATGAAACCTGCTGATCCATCGCCCAGCTCCGGAGGTACAGGAGTTTGTAATCTTTCGTGAGCTTCTTCCAGAAGTAGTAGAATTGTATACATTGTTTTGAGTCTTTTGTTCTTATCTGTGAAGAAATAGATATGATTTGGATTAATAAGTACTTTTTGAGATGGACGAACAATTGAGCGGTTTGGTAGTAAATTTTAAATTGGTAGTAAATGCTGACCAGTTGTGAAATCCGGTAGAAGTCCTTATCATAGTGGCCGAGTCCGGCGAGGAAGGCCTCGACCTCGTGCGGCGCCCAGCGCGCGTCGTGGCGCTGCGTGGGCGCGGCGGGGCGCGACATGAGACAGAGCGTGGCGGCGCGGATGTCTCCGCCGCACTCGCCCAGCGTCTGCAGCGCGAACTCCTTCGTGTGCCCGCCCACCGGCATCGCCGCGCACATCGCCAGCTCCATGAACATCCTCACTGCAAACACAACAACCAGTATTACCATTAAATCCTCTAAGTCAAATACACTGAAAATCAAAGCAGTACGGCAAGTCTTTTGTATTTGTGTATGTTTATCGTCATTAAATTGAACTTTCATTTATAGAACCAAGTATTCACTCACCTTCATTATCATCTAGGGCATCGTTGATGCCTGGGTCCCATAACAGCTGTTCCGGTACTCGATGTAGATCTATTCGATCATTACACAGAGCCGGCAGCTCAGCCTGGAAGTCTCGCCCGATATTGATCTGCGGCGGCCGAGGTTCTTCCAGTTGAGAAAGAACATCAGTTTGTGATGTCCCTGCACCTGATACAAAATATACAAAGATTAGAGAATTCATAATCGTTGAATATCCATATTTACTTCTCAAAAATAACTAAATAATTACCTGCAGTACATTCTATTAGCAGTCCTGACCCGTCCCGATCCGGAGGCAGTATGGGTGGCGGTATGTAGTGACTAGAGGTTCGTCGTATGCGAGATCGGAACGGCCCAGCCGGAGAAGCTCGACGTTTGCGTCTCTGTGGCGACGCAGGCACACTACTTGGACTCAAAAATACTGCCGGTACCGTGTCCCGACCTTCCACACATACCTGAAATTAAGTTAAAATGTTTATTGTATTACAATAAACATTTTGAAAAAATATCAACATTTCGTATTGAAAAATTTCATTTATTTTGGTTCTTACTTGAAGTGAGTCGTGTTGCCACTGCTGTAATGGCGAAATAGTAGACGATCCCATGCGACTGTGTCGACGGAAAGGTCGCTGGTGTGCGAAGTCTCGTGGACTGCTCGACAGGAGAGGATCTTCTGAATTTAACATAATGCGACGCGGTGCTGGTGACGGTTCCAATGCATACGCATCTAGCGATCGACACTCTTCTGGTAACACTTCTTCTAAAGCTTCCTCAACCTGAAAAGAATTACGAAAATGTTTACTGAAGTTTTGTGACCGAAATATAAATCAATTAGCAATAGTCCTCACCTCTTCTTGACTAGACATAGTGGCAGTGAAAAAGGCAGCGGATAGAGGCGAGGATGCACGAGGAGCTGTGTTCCCTGGCGAGTGAGCATCGTGTGATGCTGGAGGAGTTGGGTAAGCCATACCCGGTGAAGGCTCGGCATGGTTTGAATAGCTACTTGGTGACGCAGCTGTGAACGACAATCCTGGGGAACCTCCGGTAGAATAAGAAAGACCGGGTGAATTGGCAGTGTATCCCATTCCAGGTGACGGAACCGGTGAACCTCCATGGCAAGCGCCGAAGTCAGCAAGAGATTCTGGTAGAGGTGAATTAAGAACCGCAGCGAGCCGTCGGTTGGATGGAAACGTTACAGGTGATCGTTCTCTTATAGATGCCGCTACAGTTGCATAATCTTCCAATGAGGCTAATTCCTCTAATTGGTCGTGAGTTGTAGTAAACTGGAACGTGTCCTCATTTAGTGCTGGTGAAAAGTATCCATCATCTGAATTGAATGATACTCCAAACAATTCTGGCCGGAAAGTGAAGTCTTGCTGTGGTGACGTTTGCCCAGGATCTGATGCGGATCGTTTTACAGCCTGTTAAGTAAATATTATAAGGATGAGTGGAGGTTGATTGTGATTATTAATAATTGTATAAATTAATTTGTTTAATGCGTTTACCTTAGTGTTCCCTTTTTTCAATAGTTCTATTAGTGTAGAATCTCTTTGTGCAGCGCAGATGTTGGTCGCCGCATTAGAAGCAACGGTGACGACGGGTGGTGCCCGCGGAGAGACGAAGTGCGTTGAAGTAGCGGCGGGGGACGCTGGCTGTCTGATGTTAGATAATGGCGGTGGGGCAGGCGCTACGAATCCTGCGCGAGAGGACACTGAGTCTGTGGTTGTACCTGTGAGCAGTAACAACAATAAAATATCTATCAGATCCTTCAATGGTAACGATTAAATAATTTATGATGTCAAATTATGTCCATGTAAAGAGCGTGGATGTACCTGTAGATGGTGTGGACGCAACAGTAGCTCCTCGACGACTTATAATCTTTTCTTCAATAAGCGCTCGAACAGATACCGAAGCCGTTTGTAATGGTGGTCCCGTAGATTCTTTCTTATCTAGTTTTTTGCTGTCCGAGTCCTGAAATGGTTTACAGTAAGGAATGTAATTTTTTTCTATTCTAATGTAATAAGGAAATATTGGATTTTTATTAAATTTACTGTATCAATAGTTTTCAACGTTCCTTTGCTATTTGAGAAGGTTTCAAAAAGATAGTATGAAATGAATACCTTTTTAAAGTATCCGCCATGAAGTCGCATATGGCCGTTCAGCGCCGGTATATTTTTAAACTTGCGATGACAGAGGTTGCATTCTACTGGCTTTACGTCGCTGGCTCGGGCGGCATTGGACGCCGCGCTACCCGCTCCGCTGGCTCCTCCGCTCGCACTTGCGCCATTCGCAGCTTTCTGACTGCTTTGCTGTGTCTGTGAAATTAACGATGCCTTTTGAAAGGTTCAAACGACTTTCAAATCTATTACGTACTTCGTAATTTTAAGGTATAAACTTTCAATCTTCAGTAGCTCGTTAATATTCTGAGTTAATTAATGGATTCTGATGGACTCTGCGTAATCCCTGACGGTTAAAAGGAAATTGGTAATTATAGGTCAATCCGAAGTCGTAAATAGCTGAAAGTTTGCTTTGGTTTGAACGTTAATAGTGAATAATGCCTGGTATGGTAATATTTATTTGCGGATTTTTCCTACAAAGCGCAACGGGAGCGCAGTGCAGTTATTCATTCACGTAGAATTTTAATTAGTTGCGGATTTCCGTCGTACCACCGCGTTGGCGTCCGACGCGTCGCGCGCCAACTCGTAAATTATATCTGATAAAATGTTTTAATGTCGGAATTATTCTATTTACGAACATTAGCATTCGAGTTTGTTCTACACGCGCAGTTACAAGTACGATTACGGAACGATATTTTTGCAAACATAAAACAACACGATCGTACAACGATGTTTATTGTTTATCGTGGGGAAAGGGAGAGGGCCTTAGGTAAATAACCATTCGAAAATAGCTCAAATGTTTAAGTAGAACCCAATTTGAGTGAAACACAAGGTGAGGAAGCTTAATGGCATTACGGGTTTAGGGTTGGCACCCGAAACTTTCCGGCGCTATTGTCGTCTTGCAAGCAATAATACTTGAACGATACCCCTGGCGCACTTACAGCAGGTGTGGGTAGATGATTGTTCAAAGACTTATTCCCTTAAAAGTCGTGAAGGCTTATTGCAATAACTTAAAACATACTAAGTCAAATGAGATACCACACGAGTTTGTCACGTTATAACTACTAACGTAAATACCGAAATGTTGACCTCATAATTTTATAAAAAAAATAACTCTAGTCTATGGTAGAAGTTTGAAAGGTTCAATTTAATCCGTTTGCCAATCGCTAATTGTATTAGTGAATATTGTTTCATAATTCATTGAGCGAGCTTAATTAATTTGCGTAATACGAACAACTAATTATGAAGAAGATATTTATTGTGGTTGTGTTAAACTAGAGTCGATGAATATAAGTGGGGATTAAAGTTAATACTTATCAAATTATTATTAATAAGTGTATTTCAGTTATGTTATAATTCGGCCCACTCGTTAGACATCAACGTAAGTTAAAAACATACAAGAAGTATGAATTACACAAAATTGTTGAATCAGCAGGAAACATGTTTTAAGTGTTTCAAAACTGAGAATTTATTTGTTGACCTGTTTTATAACGTCCAATAAATCATTCAAACTTAATATTTATTGAATGAAATAGCATAGAGGGTTAGCTTTTTGTTTGCTATCACAGACCGTGTTCCAAACTTTAAAAACATAAAAAATAAAATAATTCAATTTTATACCTTGCCATAACTACCATTCCATTTTTAAATAGAAACCATAAAGTTTTAAACGAAGAAACGAGACGTTAAATAAAAATAAAAAAGTTTCCACTAAAACATATATACAGACAATTTAACGATAACTGACATACCTACTTCAAGAACGAAAAATATTCACAACGAAAACACAATAACCCGAATTAATCCAATGAGACAGAAAAATGTCGCATAAATATAAAGGAATGTCTTTTATTTCAATTGAAACGACATTTTTTTGTTATAAAGGGTAGACATAACAAAAATTAAAGCCGCGATAGACGGATGACTACGTACATTCAGCAGGGTTGAACAATTTCAACATGTTTTGTTCTATCTGTTTATTATTTTAGAAACTGATTTGATTTGTTAAGTATTCGTTAAAAATATTAAAATATAGAAATCTAAGTGTTTCAATCTACCAGGCCACGCTAATAACACCAACAAAATGTTATAACGCAAAACTTTACAAACTAATATTGCAAGCACTTGCTTTTATTACCTCCAATACGAAATACACGAAAACTCTAAACTAGAATTCAACCACTTAAACTAAACACATTGGGACCCGCACTAATGACGTCACAGTTGTCAGGGTTGGCACGCACAAACAAAACGCTGTATTATGTCTTCATTTGTGCAGATAAACGCTTTTTGTCACGTGACTAATAACGGTACACAGGACACATGTTAAAAGTGGGTCGTGGGAGTGTAATTTATTTGATTTGAAGCTTTTTTCGCGGGAGCAGCCCTAACGCGCCATTAGGGCTGGCTCGTTAGGTTAATGTGGAGGTGAGAGCAGATGTTCTGTGAAGCTGGTTGTAGCGTTTTTGCTATACATCATCCGTAGTGCAGTTGGCTCTAGTATTGTGCTTTTTTGGTCTGAAACGTTCTCTCGTTACTATTGCGCAGTTCGCAAATGGCACTCAATTCTGTTACACAGTAAAAAAGATGGAGAGATTGTTCTTTCTCATCTTTTAGATACGAACTTCACATTAATGACGAATTCAATAGACATAACATATACAATAGTGGCTGAAAATTCTACATACGTTGACGTATTCAAGATTTAGATTTATTTTTTATAAGAAAATAACTTTAACAACATACCTTATAAACGGGTTTATTAGTTGGCTTACTAAACGTATGAGTTTGAAATAGTTCCGATATCCAATTGTCCATGTTTACACTTAATACACTTGAATCAAGTTTCGAACACCCTACGCATTAATTCACGTAACTACAATCACTGATTGTACAAATAATTTTGACAAGATTTATAACGGCAAAACCACGATGTTCATCTCATGGGATTCGAACTCAAAATGACGATGCAATGAATGGGGATGATATCGAAGAGATGACCCCTCGATTAATTTCCAAGCTCGCGAATCGAGATAACTGACCAGACAAATAACAAAGGCACCAGTTTGTATGAACACCAATTTGCATATACTTAATAGAACACTCTATTTGAAATAAAACATTGTTATTTTCTTGTGAGAATATTAATTTTATTCTATTTCGAAATGAAGCGAAGTATGATTTTAGAGCGCTGGTTTCATACCGGAGTTCTTATTTTAAAAGATAACGGTTTTAGTCTTGAAAAAAAAAATTATAAAAATGAAATACAATTAGCCATTCACTTAGAAACGTTTTCAAAAGATGTGATATCCAGCTGAGAGCTCGATAGTCAAATATTATAGATTTATAAAAATAAGCAGGCGGTGCGGTTTTTAAAAATAACTATTATTTTAGAATAGTGACAGTTTTGATCCTAGTCAAATTTCAAATGATACTTGTGGGAACAAATTCAAATGATTAGATGACAAATATTTTTTTATGTTTTAATTAATTTTAATGCAATTTATAATAAGATACATAAATAAAAAAACATACAAGCGGTCAAAATACTTATCAGTACAAAAGATTATTTTTCTTTGCGAGTTGTGTTTGTATTATATTGTTGATCAATGATGTCGTTTTTAAATGTTAATTTATAGTTTCAAGATAAAACAACCTCTCCTTATAGTTATTATGTAAAACTTCTGTATCTTAAACAATTCACGAAGATACGGAGTGTGTCAGAATAACTCAAACTATTATAAGAAGTCGTGTGAAAAATTAAAAATGCTGATTTTTGGAAGCCAACAAATAAGGGTCAAGTTAAGTCTGACATTCAAGTCGAGGGGTGAACAGGCCACGTGGCGCTGAGGTCACAGGTCACTACGCGTAAGAAGAGGTCGAAAGTCGCCACTTTAAAAAATAGGGTGACCTACTGTAGTTGTTCGTCTTTTAATTAATGTATTTAATTGCTTCTTATATTTTTAACTAGTAAAATTGTTCTAACAGAGTAACTACCGTTATTGCGAATGTTATTTTATTTGTCGAAACGTAAAATTAATGCCCGCATTGGAGGGTTACCAAACGAATGCGTCAAAGAAAAAATGTACTTCAAAAGAAATTTCTTTGAAATATAAAAGTGTTTTTGCGACATTTGATCCGTCTACATTTATCGCGGGCTTGAGTTTTGTAAACAGCTTAGCAAAATCATACTTTTATAAAGTGTTGGCCGTGGTATTAGAAAACCATCTATTACGAGTGCTTTAAGTTGATGTTACGCTTAGAAGATAGAAGGAGTCACGTAAGTGCTACGTTAGGTACACGACTTCAATTATGCATCGGGACGTTTATCGGCGCGGAGCGGGCCGCACCTGCGTCGTTGTCACCCTACATTATTAATGGAGCGAGTCGGGCGAGGATCGCGACGTCGGCCTAAAACAATGACACTGTCTTTATAAACGATCCCTTTTCTAGCTAAAACTTATGAATTATTGTTGGATCTCACTCCTGAAGGGCTGCCTCCGTTTTTAATCAAGGTTTGCGGTGTTTAGGGGATTATACCATGCATATGTAATGTACCAACATTTGTTTAGTGTAGCGTTTAAATTGACAATTTGAGAAGAATATTGTGAGTTTCAGCGTAACATCTGTCAAGGGTGCGACGTCAAATTCAATTTTACTTTTGAGTTTCTATGCTCCCATTAAAAGTCCCAGAAATTAATATATAAAAAGTTTTGCGGGGCAAATGTTCTTTTTTTATTTTTAATATTGCTGATTGTATCTCGGTAAAAACTTTTACGTATTTTCTTGCATCCGAGGGCTGGTAAAAAATCTAAAGTCCATGAGATGCTCGTATAGATGACAGCTGAAAAAGAATCGAATTTCGCGAAGTTGGTAGTACCTACGTACAAAGATGTTGGAATTCGATAAGAGACAGCGATGGATTCTTTTGGGACGTGGTTTGAGACGAGGAGACACTGGCGTTCTTTGTTCTCTAAAATACTAGCACAACATTCTGTTGGACTTTTTAGATTTTATCTTTATTTGCCTTAGAGCAACTGTAGTAATATTAAAGTGGGTATGAGCGACTAAAGCGAAAATTTTTGCTCTTTACATTCATTTAGTTCATTTTAGATTTACTTCAAATTTAACAGTTGAATACAAATATTGTTAAAATTATAGTTTTAGTGACTAATGCCTGGAATTAACTACCTTGCTTG